GCCCCCACCCCGCATGCCCCTGTCCAGCATGCCCCCATCCAGCATGTCCCCGTCCAGCGTGCCCCCACCCCACATGCCCCCATCCAGGGTGCTCCCACCCCGTGTGCCCCCACCCCGATGCCCCCGTCCAGTGTGCCCATGGCTTCTCCTCCAGGCTGACCACGAAGGCTGTGGCCGTGCTGCTGCCCATCCTGGGCACCTCGTGGGTCTTCGGTGTGCTTGCAGTCAACAACCAGGCTGTGGTCTTCCAGTACATGTTTGCCGTGCTCAACTCCTTACAGGTATGTGTACTGGGGCCCCTGCACACCTGCCCTCTGCATCCCCCACACCCCAGGAACCCACGGGGGTTCCCCAGCTGAGGAGAGGGCACCGATGGGGCGCACCCAGGGGCTATGAGCAGACAGGGCCTGCGGGCCAAGTTCTCCTGGAAAGGAACCTGCGTGGAGGTGGTGCTGGGAGGGTCTGGGCTGGGATCTGCCCTCTATGTGGAACGGCAGGGAGGGGCACCCTCTGGAGACCAGAGGCTCCGGGTACCCCGAGTCTGAGCCCTCAGAGAAGGGCTGGGGTGGGGAGCCCCTCGGCGAGCACAGCCCACACGGCACCCAGAGTCCAAAAAACCCTTTGCCATCAAGTCAGTTCCAACTCATAGTGACCCTGTAGGACAGAGTAGAACTGCCCCATGGGGTTTCCAAGGAGCGGCTGGTGGATTCCAACTGCTGACCTTTTGGTTAGCAGCTGAGCCTGCTTCTGAGTTCGGTAATGGGGGTCCAGGACCACAGACCCGGCGTCTAGGCCCCCCAGGTCCCTCAACAGGAGCATGCTCACGCCCCACCCCCACCCCAGAGCCCACACAGGCATGGGGAAGACCTCCAGAAAGGGCTCTAGAGCCATGTTCTCCTTCCTCCCAGGGCCTCTTCATCTTCCTGTTCCACTGCCTCCTGAACTCAGAGGTACGTTTGCTTGTCTCCGTGTGCGTGGAGCTGGTGTTCGTCTACATACAAGCACAGCGTGCGGGAGCAGCACTGCCCAGCCAGCTGTGGTCCAGGATGCAGCCGAGTTGGCTGTGGTGTGGGTGGCTGGGCACAGTGGCCATGGAGTTGCTAGAGTCGGCTGTGGTGTGGGTCCTGGGTGCATGGTGACTGTGGGGTTGCCAGAGTCGGCCATGGTGTGGGTGGCCAGGTGCCTGCTGACCGTGGTGGCTAAGCAATGACTGAGCATCCTCCCTCCCCAACGTCAGCAGCTTGACCAGGGGGGTGCTGAGCAAGGGGCCAGGGCCACAGATGGGGCTGCCTTGGGTCAAGGGGAGGCCTCCTGTCTGCAGGGTGGGGAGGGAGCTGCGGACCGTGGTTGCAGGGGCCCCGACAGCGGGGGCCGCTGGTCTTCTTGGTGCAGTCAGGCTGTCCTCTGCGTGTGTGGAGACGCTCAGGACCCCCTCTGTCCTGGAGAGCACTGTAGTGAGCAGGGCATTCCGGGCTGACAGGACAAACGGGTGACTGTGAGATAACACAGCCAGCTGTTTACGGACAGCGGGGTCCCCCAGCAGGAGGTCTGCCAGGGGCCAGCAGCGCAGGGAGCCCCCAGAAGGGCAGAGGACGGGGGGAGGCTTACGTGTGGTCTGGCAGCGTCCTTCAGCAGCCAGGTGGGAGTCTCTGGGTCCTGAGTTCCAAGGGCAGTGACAGCTGGAGGCCCTGATAACCCCAGGCTTCCTCTTATCTAGGCGAGCAGATGCTGGGTGCAGGGTGGTGGACAGTGTAAAGCGGGCAGGCTCTAGGTGGCTAAGAATCTGCTTCTTTGGGCTTTTTTGTGTGTGGTGAAAACATGCGTACGGAAACCTATGTCATCTCAACAGTGTCTCCACGTACAATTCAGTGACACGGATCACATCCTTCAAGTTGTGCACCCGTTCTCACCGTCCTTTTTCAGGTCATTTCACCACCATTAACATCGACTCACTGCCCCCTAAGCACATACTCCCCCTTTCTCCCTTTCCCTAGTGACCGCTGATAATCTTCGGTTTCTATATATGTGTGCTTATTTCATATAAGTAGAATCATACAGTATTTGTTCTTTTCCAACTGACTGATGGACTCAGCATGCTGTTTTCAGGATTCGTCCACGTTGTGGCGTGCCCCAGAGCTTCATTCTCTTTCGAGCTGAGTACTGTTCCGTTGTGCGGGGGACACGTTGTGTTTATTCACTCGTCTGTTGATGGACATTGCGGTTGTTTCCACCGTGTGGCTGCAGTGCACATTGTGTCCAGGTGTCTGTTTGCGTCCCTGGCCTCGCTTCTTCTGCGTATACACCCAGGAGTGGGATTGCTGGGTCACATGATAGCTCTGGGTTCTGCTATTTGAGGAACTGCCAAACTTTTCCACAGAGGCTGCACCATTTTGCGTTCCGACCAGTGATGGATGAGGGTTCCCAGGGCTGTTTTTAAAACAGTCGGATGTGTGTACATTTGAGTTTGGTGCCGGCAGGCTTTTTGGGAGAAGTGGGGGCACATTTATAAGGAAGTGAACAAGCTGGGCCAATGCACAGAGGCCGTCTTTGGCTCATTGTGTAGACGGCGTGTCTCCCGAACGTGGGCCAGTCCGTGCTCCACGCCCCTGCCGGGCTGCGGCCATGGACAG